ATTTTTCGGACCATAAGATGCACCTGGGTCTTAGAGATGGAAAATAGGGGGGAAATTTGAAGCAAAAAATGTGGTAAAATATTTAATGATGTAAACAACACAAGCCACCCCCCCCGCCCCCCCGCGAGCCAGACAAGCTACACTCAAACTACAAGACACATTCCCCTCTCCTCCCACATGGGGGTGTGCATCTTATAGTCTGAAAATGCGTTATTTTTGTTGGCTTTTTCACAAATGACTATCTTTTATAAAATGTGCCTTTGGAGTAGTTTTCCTTAAGTATAAAGGTACTACCTGAGTTAAGAAAGATTAGGGAATACTTTTTATCAGCTTCATCTTTACAAAAATGCAGTTTGTGGCCACCAACATTAGCAGGACAAATTTATTTATAACAAATGGCTTAAATGTACAGATAAAAAGTCCTATTGATACCACCAGGGCATCTTGCAATTTGACAGATCAAATCTTATTTTCATTCTTAAAGCCCGTGAAGAAGAGATATCGCTGACTTGCATTCACTGGTGAGCACATTGATTAATCCCTCTCTATAGAAATCTCAACTCTTGATTACACCCATCAGACGCGCGGCAGCATTATTCTAGACTGACAACACTTTGACAAATTCCCCAACCGTTTTCTCAGCCTTTGTGGCCCTGCTAGCTCGTATTAACCCTGATGAAAAATTAATTTTCCTTATCTTTTTCTAAACCCCAAAGTCCAAATCCGCCAAACTGGCAACTCTTTCTGTAAAGGTATTATGAAAACCTCCGAAAGATTAATTGCATGTCTTCAGGTGACATTAAATTAATTTCTGTGCCATGACAGACACTTGATACTCACACTGAGAAGACAGATAACATTGTCAGGACTCACAGAAGGACAGTGGCTGGGGTCCTGGGCAGCCCCCCGTGAATTCCCCCAACGGGCCCAGGGCCCTGACGGCACTGCGCTCTCGGGGCCTCCGCACTCACCGCACACACAGGCTCCCCCGCGCCACCCCCGAGCCCGGCCTCACCCTGTCACCTTCCGCAGCGTACTCAGAATTGGGACAGCAGACGACAGGCGTGCCGTGCGAGGCCCCGCACGCGAACACACGGAGACCCCGCGCTGTCTCTGAAGGACGCGCTCTCACCCAGGCCCCCGGGCCGAGGCCCCGAGGACAGCCGCAGCGTGGGGCGAGAACGCTTCTCGTCTGCAGCGTGCACCCGCTCTCGGCAGCCAACCACCCCCGCCTGGGGCACGCGCGCCAGCGTGTCAACGATGTCCACCAAGAAAGCTCCTGCCACGCTCCGGGAGTGGGTGCAGGGATGACGGAAACCCGCCACCCCCTGTTCGGCCCCAGCCACGCCACTCTTTCGTCCCCCTGAACCCTCCCCAGCGGGCTCTCCGGTCGCTCACAGCCGTCAGGGCTGGCCAGCACCACGGGGCTCAATCACCCTTGTCTAGAAGCGCCCCCAGAAGTTTTCTGAATCAGCTCGGGCAGCTCTGTACTCTCACCGGAAACAGAGTGTTAGCCTTCATTGAGAAAAAAGTCACACTAGGGGAGAAGCAGCGGCAACAATAGCTGTCACCAACCACGGCCAGGAGCACAGGGCTCAGAAGCCTCACTCCGCCGCGGGGCAGCAGCCAGGTGACCCGGGCTCCCAGCACCACAGCCCGGAGTCGCCCACCCCCACCCCCACCCTCACCAGCCAGCGGGAGGGAGCGGCCCTCCCGTGGACGCTGTGAGCGCACGGGAGCCTGGGCGCACAGTGGCCAGGACACGAGACGGCGTGGGAACCGCAACAGGGACTTCTAGAAGGGCCTCGGGAGCCCTCTGGAAGCAGGGCGGGCACCTGTGAAGAAGAGCCTTCCGTGGGAGGGGGCTGCGCTTCCCCATCCCTCCCCGCAACCCGAGGAACCTCGTTCAGGCTGGAGCCGGGGTCGGAAAAGCGAGGGCACTGCTGGGGCCCGAGGACGACTAACAACAGACAGCCACCCCAGCGCTTCCCCCTCCAAAGCCACCGTCTCCCCGGGCCGCCCGGCTTCAGCCACGCCCCGTGAACAGGGGTTCCCGGGGGCACACAACAGGCGGGACCCAAAAGGGAGCCCGCGAAGGGAGGGAAGAGCGGCTAGGAGCTGGGAACGCAGAGGACCACGGTCCCGTGACTGTGAGAGCCGACACCAAGAAAGGAGCCACAGGACGTCCTTTGTGACGCGCTCGCTGCGACCCAGAGGAGGGACGAGGAGGGTAAGACAACGCATCGACGCCGACGGGCAGCGCGAGGGCGGACTCCAAGCCCTGCCCGGGACTCAGGCGGCCTCACTTTCGGAGCGCCCCATCACACCAAACCCAGAGGTCACTCCTTCGGTGCTAAGGAGCGCAGCGGGGCAGACAGGACAGGCCCCGGGACCGCCGCACTGTCACCTCCCGGGCGCAGCACGGCGAGAGGACCCCGAGGAAGCCGCGAGGCCCCTCCAGCCTGTATGCAGAAGTCAGAGCCCAGAGGACAGCTGCCCTGACTGGACCCCCAGCAGGAGCAGGGCCCGGCTCTGTCCCCTGCCCCTGCCCCGGGAGGCTGCCGATGCAGAGGGCACTGTGATCAGCAACCTCAGAACTGCGGGGGGCGCCCCCCCCCGCCCCCGCCCAGTGAACTCCGGGCCGATCTTTCTGGGAACCTCATAAAGACAGTGCAGTGTGTCATTGCGCAAACAGGGCACACAGACGCCACAGTAAAACACAAAAAACGGCCTGACAAGGGAATTAATTATGTTAGCAACCGACCACTCTCAGCACGAACCCGAGACACACAGAGCTCTCTGCGCAGGCGCAACACACCCGCGGCCCTCCCCAACGCCAGGCCCAGCAGAGCCTCCCTGCCACTGCCGGCCCCGCCCCACACTGCCCAGGCCCAGGGCCTTAGCGCCACAGCCCACGGGGAAGCGAGGGACCAGAGGGGACAGGAATAAGTGGCGGAAGAACTGTGCACAGAAAACTCCTAACTGAACGGCTTCCTTTTGAATCACCTGGAATGAGCACCACCATGACTATGTTCTCTGAAACACAGGTCCTGCCCACCCCGCCCCCTGCCCGGCATGGAGAGACGCTGCTTATGCTAGTCCAGAGGAGCACAAGGGGGCCGCCTATCCTCGGACGGTCCGAGCGGCCGCCACGCTGCTGGAGGACCTGGTGGGATCGATCCGCATGCCGACCCCAGACCTGCTGGCCAGCTCACCACGCTTAGGAACAGACACAGCTCCAGAGCCACTCCGCGTCTGGCAGACACCCGTTTCCGTGTCAGCTTCCTCTGCTGTTGCCCTGTGCTCTGTGAAGTCACACAGCACGGCCTCAGGATGCCGCCTGATGTAAACGACACTCTTCCCCACTGCAGGTAAAGACGGTAGGAGCCTCAGTCAGGGACACGTTTCCCCCAGAGGGAAGGCGCGGGCTGGTCTGACAGCTGCGCCTGGACAGACAAGCCGCACCCACACCTGGCCCGCCAGTGCCCCCCCACACTTGGCTCTCACGTCTCACCGACCTCGGGGGCCGTGGGAAGGGCCACTCCCGACCTGGACCCCAGGCCCCCTTCACAACTCCAGAGGAAAGGCGAGACACTGACAAAGTGAGCTGAAAACAAAGTCAAAAGCCAAAGGCCATAGACCCTGGAGACGAAGCCCGCCTCCTTGTCTAAAGACAGCACGTGCACAACGGTAAAATAATTTGGGGGACACAGGCCACCTACGAGTCACTCTAATCAGTATTTCGAATCGCAATGAGTGGCACTGAGAAGCAGCAGGTTGAAGTGAAACACAATTATGGGTCTTACTGAATGTGGAATTTCCAATCCATACTACCCAATCACAAATTTTTTTACAGCACGTGAAAAACTATCCTCTTCTGTTGTGTACAATGCACACTTTCTTGCCCAAATTTCTAAGGGAAAAACAAGAATGCATGTTATACACGGTTAATACTAGTTCTGTATCTATATAAGTGTTTTTAATTCTTTCATTTATGCTTCCGTGTTACATGTGTGAGTCCAGAAAGCAATAACGACATCCATATGCAAAATAATACTCTGGAACATGATAACCGGTTTTGTTTCTAAATATAAATAAGTAAAAATTGAATCTAAAAGTTAAAAGATTTTTTTCCTGAAAGCTTGGGCCAAAAACGTGGGTGTGCATTACCCGCGGGAGCCCCTCCCACACGGCAAGACGCGGTGCCCTCTCGGTCCCCGGGCCCGCAGGCAGAGCGCCGCGCACCGCACCCAGTAAGCGGCGCTCCGGGGGTGCTCCCGGCCAGCGCCCCCCCAGCCCCGCCGGGGCTGCCGTCTGCAGTCTGTCCGGTCACCACCACCACCGGCCGGCTTCCGCTTCCGCCCCAGCTCACAGACGAGTGCACACGCTGGGAGCGCTGTGACAGCGGATGCTCACGTGGGTGGTCCAGCACACGCTTCAGGAGTCCTTGTGGCCACAGCAAGAGAGCCCCCTTCTGTAAGGAGCACGCACCCCACTCCTGCCCCCTGATGGGACCGCCTGCCACAAGCACATGCCTATAGGCCCGTCCTGGAAGCGGCCACGACCCCGCCTTGCTTGCGGAAAGGGCTCCAGGACACAGACCCGGGGCGAGCTGTCCGCGGACGGCAAGTGGGAAGACCAGTGTGCTCTCCCTTCGTGCCCCAGGGCTCACTGCACCGAAAGCTGCACACAACAAATGACTCGCTCTGTGGTAGAGGAAACTTTACGCTCACAACAGGCTGGGCGACCACCACACACTGTCTCCAGAAAGGAGCTGACGCTGAGAACGGTCTGAGCCAGGGGTCCCCACGTGGCCGTCCACTGAGACCCACAGACGCCTGGGCCCCAGGGGAGCAGAGTCCAGCCAGAGGGCAGGCCCGCCGTCCTCGGGGCTGCGCGGGGCACCCTGCCCCCCCTCCACTGCACGCCCTCTCCGGGAAGGACGGTGCTCCCAGGGAAGGGTGCAGAGACCCCGGAGGCGTGGTGACCTCTCCACTTACCCCGCCTGACAACTTAATCACCCTGACTTTGGAGCTGATGTGTGGCCCGTCCCCGCCACCGCTGTTGGCCCGGTGCATGACAGTCCTCTTGGCGCTGGGCTTGGCGTCCGGGGGCCGGCCCTGGAGGGACGTCCCTCGGGCAGTCTGTGCTGAGGGCGGCGCGTCCCCGTCCGCAGGCTGCACCTGCAGGACTTTGTGTCTCAAGTGCTTCAGTGGTCTCACCGCCTGTCCCGGGTACGGCATGCTAGCACCAGACGGCACGAAGTTGGGGGTTTTGGGCTGAAGGTTTGGAGGAGCGGCATCCTGGCTCTTCACGAGAAGTCTGTTTTTCACGCTCTGCCGGACCGGTGCGCCAGGGAAGGGCAGCAAGGGGTTCCCGTTGGTGGGCAACGGGGACGGTGCCACCGGCTGCTCCTCCCGCTCCGGAGGGGCCGCGGGGGCGCAGAGCTGCTGCTGCTGCGCCAGCCTCTCCAACAGCTCCTTCTTCCGGGCCCCGGCCTGCTGCTGCCGGCGCAGCTCCTTCTGCTTCAGGATCTCCTCCCGCAGGCGCTTCTGCTCCTCGATCTTCAGGCGGTACAGCCTCGTCTCCTCGTCTTCCTCGGGGAACTGGAAGACAGAACGCACGCTGTTTACTGGGCAGCGCCGGGCCAGGCAGCCACTCCTGTCATCTCTACCAACTCCAGAAGAGCAAAATTCACAAACCCTTCCTTCAAAATTTGAAAGACACTATTCAAAATCTGCTTACAGACTTTAGGTATAACTCCTTCCCCTGGGGAGGGAAAAAAATTACGCAGCTAAAGCTAATTTGGAAAATCTTATCAGAATATTACAAAGTGAAAGGATGTGTATTTCCATTCATTTACATGTCTGAATCCAATTAAACCACTCGTTTAAGATATCAAAATACGCTCCGAGTGGCAGTGGCCACAGCAGGGGCCACGCTGTCACACAGGCTTTGTCTGGCTCTGCTCTGACGGGCCAACAAAAGGTGGGTATAAATGACCTGAAAGGGCCTGATTAGAACTATTGATTTTTCGTACAGAATTTCAGTCTGATCTCAAACTCATTTGTCACAGAATAATTGGCTGTAATGAACAGCACAAGTCAATCTCTCTGACCTTGAACTCACACACTCCTCAGAATCAAAATGCTGCCAATGGCAGCGCTGGAATATTAATGGTACGTAAGGAAAGCTTAGTAGTCAGCCCGGCCATTCTACAGTCTGCCCCCAAAATCTCAGAAAGTCTGGTAACTTTCTTTCATCAAAACCGTGAAACCAGGAAAGTTTATTAAAAGTTAAGCATTTGTTAAAAATCACAGTAATTTTCTTTAAATGCAGTCACAGCTACCCTGGATTCACAGACCCTTCACAAATGAATGTAATAAGGTTTAATCTACCTAGAGCTCAGATATTAATAAATGTTAAGAATTGGGAATTAAAACCAAAATGTAGCTGAAGACCCTGCTGAGGCCCCCAAAGCCCATGCCCTTGACCTACAGGACAGAGCCGGGCCCTCGCAGGGGCCTGCTTGTCATTTTAGAAGCACTTCTGACCAGGTCGATCATCTAACTGCAAGGTCAAGGGCAGACACGGAACAGCACATCTGAAGGCAGGTGAGGGCCCCAGGCAGGTGTGACAGGAGAGCAGCGGTCACACGGCGCAGGGCCGGGGTGCTGGGTGTGGCGGGGGGAGCAGCCTGCTGGGGAGCAGAGGCGTGCCCCAGCCCCCAGGAGGGGTTCCAGCGCATCCCACAACACAGTGGGAAGGCTGGTGAACAGGTGTGTCTTTCATTGTATCATCACCAATTGTGTGGACGTAAGAAAATCAGCTGTAAGAAACACCGAATACGTGTGAGAAGTAAACAAGTTTACTCCCGGTCCGTTCCCCGTGCACAGAAGGCTGAAAGCAGGCAGCTGAAGACAGAGCGCAGGCTCGGCCCCCGCGAGTCCCTGTGCGCAGGGAGGCCAGGCGGCCCCCGTGGGGGCGGCCCCACCGAGGGGCCCCGCTGAGCTGGCGGCACGGGGGGCCGCCCGCCGTGGCACTGCTGCCCCGGTGTTTAGACCCTGCTGTCATGGAGTGAAGCGCACTGACTCAGTTTTTCCGAACCCACTCGGCTTACAGTATGAACGACAGCTACGTAAACTGAAAGGATGCAATTTTCAGCAAAGGTATCTTTTTATAAGCTGCCCCAATCAAGTCTACACATCTACATTGTTGTTTCATATGTTGTTTTAAAGCCAGAGGCCACCCTTCTTCTAGGAAGGGCTCGACTCCGTGTTCACACACACGTCTGGTCAGGAACGTGCGGCCACCCCAGCTCCTAGGAAAGCCCACCCCCTCCGGACTCGACTGGCCGGCAGGTGGAGCCCGTGCTGCTTGGCCTTCCCACAAGTAACACACCGTGACTCGCTGTGCCTCCACCAAAGGGGGCTCCTCACGCCACCGCCCTTCTGTATGGAGGTCACACCCGACGCTGACTTACTCCAGTCCAAGAGAACTTCACGGTATCTCGTCCCAGGCACACACGCCCCACGGTGAGGAAGGTCAAGGCTGTGAGCAGTGAAGTGACTTGCTCAGGGCCACAGTGCTGGCAGGGGCGGGTCGCCCCGAGGGCGTCTCTCCCCCATGCTACGCTGCGTCAGCACCCACAGTGCGAGATGCTGCCCGTGGCTTGTCTCTGTGCGTCTGGGAAGCAGCCCGGGACTGAACCTCGACTGCCCAGAAGCCTCAGACAAGCATAGCCACTTCTTTTCTGGGTTAGAAAAGAGGCCCCACAACCAGTGGCCTCAATGGGTCCGTCTCAGCCATACCCCACTGATACTGAACAAGAGCCCATCACAAAGTTCACGACCAGCACTACTAATGCTGCACCAGCCCTACCAAAACATTAGCAAGTGGCAGAAACTCATTCAAGGTGCAAGTAAGATCTCAAGTGGAAACCACGTCGTACTGACCTGTATGTACCATTCAATCTTACATTTACACGTATTTAAAAATCAGTAACAATGCAACAATTAAGAATGCCCACCCCCCACCCCTGCAAGACTCCTGTTAGAAGGCCGAAAGTCCAAGCAGTCTCGTCCCCTCGTCGTGCACCATGGGAACCGAGCGAGAGTCACAGAGCACCAACGGCGTGTATCAGGGTCAGCTAAGTACAGCCCGCGGCCCATCCCGGCCCAGCACCGGGTCCTGTCACACAGTGCCACAGGACACAGCCACACCCGTGATCTACGCACCATCCCTAGCTGCATGGGGGCTGGAAACATGGCTGAGTGTGACGAGAAGCGTCCGCCCTCTCCAGTCTGCGCCCCACCCGGCCTGGGCCCGGGGACCAGCCCGCTGAGCCCTAGCGTACAGCCTCTGTGGCGCACAGCTCCAGCCGTGTCCGTGCGGGACGCCGCTGTGCCGGCGCCGGGGAGGTCGGAGTGCACGTCTGCGGGACGGCCAGGAGGCCGAGAGGAAGGCCCAGCAGAGACGCGGGGCAAAGACCTGGCGAGCGGCCCTCGGGGGTCGGAGCTCAGCAGGAGGCACGCGCTTGTGAGCCGTGCGGCTTCCCGTCGGAGCCCAGCACCTCTCTGACGACAGCGCCTACCTCTGGCTCCGCTTTGGCCTCTTCCTTGGGCTGCTGCCCCCCAGGGCTTCCGGGCTTGGCCTTCACATCCACCTTCCCCTGCGTGCTCCTGGGCCCCGGCCCGGGCCTCGCGGGGGGCGGCGTGCTGCTGGCCGGCTTCCCGTGAGAGGCCGGCGTGGAGGCGCAGCGGCTGCTGCTCATCTCCATGACGTGCGAGGGCGCGATGGGTAACTCGCGCAAGTTACTGTTTCTGGGAGCAGTTGGCTGCAGCTGCTGCAACGGCCGTTTGGTGACATTCTGAGACGTCGTATTCTATTGCAACGAGAAAGAAATCCCAATTACCACGGGAAACTTGGGAGAAGGACCACAGACAGGCTCGTTACTAGACACAGGCGCCTGAAAACCATTCTAGCCAGTGAGTGCGTTCTCTCTCAGGGCAGACACACCTCCTGTTCGTCAGCACTGTCTGCCCCCGCCCCGAGCAGAGAAGCGCGCCCCGCAGTGGAGCACCAGGACCGCCAAGGGGGCACTCCCCACAGGCAGACAGGCTCTCCTGGGTGGAGCTCACACCAGGGAGCTGCAGGTGGGGCCTAAGCCTGGGCACAGAGGACCCTGTCTGCAGAGAAGCAGCACCAGCACTGGGTCCCCTGCAGTGCGGGGGGTGGGACGAGCACCAAGCATGAGGTCAGTGTCCTTAGAAAAGCAACTCCCTGGAGGAGAGAGATGCCCGTGAGTTTTATCCGAGAGGAAACACGTGGTCACGTTCATCCTTGGGACTTTTTTTAATTCTCCCCCGAGGATATGTGTATTGTGAGGAAGAGGAAAGGGGGATGAGAGAGAGAAACAGAGAAACATTAATGTGAGGGAGAAACATGGGTTGGTTACCTCCTGCACGTGACCTACCCGGGGATCACACTGGTAGACTTTTGGTGAACAGGAAGACGCTCCGACCCACTGAACCACCGGCCACAGCCACCCCTGGGATGCTTAACAGAGACCCAGCACCTGGGGGGAGCTCACAGACGGGGCGTGGGGGACCTGAACTCTCCAACCCCTCACAGGGCCAACCCGTCAGGAGACAAGGCCGGGTATGCGGTCTGCCATCGCTTCAACCAAGTGAGACCCAGGGACGGACCACCATCTCCCCTGACCTGGGGGTCCTTTCTTATGTCATCCCACTTTAGCCTCAATGTTACTTTAAGAAAGAAAGATGCAGGTATGAGAAAATTTGAGATTAAAAGGAACTAAGTGACATGCTTGAAGCTCCAAGTCACAAAGGACAGCACTACAAGGAAAACCTATGGCACCTGACAGCCCAGAAGGCTAACCATTAGATGGGTTCTTTATAAAAGGATTATTTCATGGAAAATAAGGCAGGGACAGTGACTACTGTCTCTTATTTTGGAAGCAGCAGTGCCCAGTGTGTTTCTGGTCGTGACCGACCCCGCACTTGCCAGCAGGCCCCGTGAGTGCAGCAGCCTCACAGGTCAGGTGCTGGCACTCTCCCAGGGTAAACCGGGGACCCCAGGGCCTGCAGGGGTGCCCGGCAATGGAGGACTTTCAACACCTGCCCCCAAGCTCCTTTACTGACCCACTCAGAGCCCAGGGAGACGGAGACCATCTGTGAGTCAAAGAGCAAGGCACTAGTGCCTGTCAGGTGGCTCTGTTGGTTAAGAGCGTCGTCCAGTGCACCAAAAGGTTGCAGGTTCAATTCCCAGTCAGGGCACATAACTGGGTTGTGGGTTCAAGCCCCAGTCAGGGTGCGTACGAGAAGCAACCAACTGATGTTGCTCTTTCTCTTTTCCATTCTCTCTAAAAGCAATAATTGTATCCTGAAGTGAGGATAAAAAAAGTAACCACTGGCAATGGCAAAGAGGGGTGACCATTACCCGGCACTGTTTTCTGAAGTTACATGTCTGTTAAATATGACTTTCACCACTACAGGAGTACGGAGGTACACAAAAGGGAGATGCAGAAGCACACCACACGGACAGAGTCTCCGAGGCACCAGAGAGGCTATCAATTTCTGTAGACAAGACGACCAATTTCCTAAGCAGGTTTTAAACAGGCTTTAAACATGCAGGCACTGCAGAACAATGCACTACATTTGTTTCATTAATTAACTCAGAGCTGGAGACTGCTCCAGTCCACGAGCTCCGCCCCCCCAGTTCAGTGCCCTGAGAGACATCACTGGCAGACGGCCGGAGACAAGCAGACACTCACATGCCGCAGCCCCTGCCGCTGGGGGCACTGCGTCCGACCGCTGTTCTGCTGGGGCGGTGCCGTCTGCACGTGAGGCCTGAACTGGGGCTGCGCCACAGGCATCAGAGGCGGAGGGGGAACGGACAGGTGGTGGTGGTGCTGGTGTGGCTGAGGCTGGTGAGGAGGCTGGTGCTGCGGCTGGGGGGGCGGCGGGTGCTGCGGGGGTGGCTGCAGAGGGGGCTGCTGCTGGGGTTGCGGTGGTGGCTGGTGTGGAGGGGGCAGTGGGGGATGCAGGGGTCCCTTTGGTGCCAAAAGAAAGAGAAACAACAGTTCACAAATGCATATACTTGTGACATTGCAATTTAGCCATTCCTTTAAACACCCCAACGCCAGAAAGAAACTTCAAGTGCCACTAATTCATGTCAGGTGCTCTGCTGAAGGCAGTATTCTATTTGACCTTAGTTGCTTTAACCCCAAAGTTCCAAGGCTGTGCCCTAAGGAAGCTATTTACTAAGGACGCAAACAACCTCTAGGGGGTCTCCTGCAGCAATGTCTCTAAGAACGTGTGGACACAGTCCTGCTGTAAAAGCAGCCTGGGCAGCAGGTGCACGTGGTGCAGTGACAGGGGCCGCCCCGACTCCCAGGATCCCCATCGCCACAGGTGCACGTGGTCCCCAGCTGACAGGACCCCACCCGCCGGCCACCGCAGAGCAGCAGGTTGTGGACGGGTGCCCTGGACAGACGGGGAAACACGAGCACCCGGTGTCAGTGGTGACTGTTCCAGGCGTCGGGCTTATCTAGTCTCCTCTCTACGTCCTTGTCCCCCTGGAGTCCCTCTGCCGTGAGGATGCCGTCACTGTGCCAGTTTCAGCGACGACAGGCCACTCTGCTCTGCGTTCACACTCCGAGCAGCCGTCGCTCTCCTCTTGTCACGGGACACGCCCTGCGTGCCCCACACAGCTGGCTGCAGCTCACCGCCACTCTCAGTGTGACAGTGCGCGGCAAGTGCAAGGGCTGCATGTTCCGTGAGCAGGGGTCAGGGGCCGAGGCAGCCGGGGGCACAGCCCATCAGCAGGGGGCACTCAACCCCTCCCACAAGGAGGGCTGGACGGCACCCCTCCCTCCGGGAGAAGCCTCCCCCTCGGACTGCAGGCACGCCGTCTGACAGAGCTTCACCCCTCCCGTACACCGCGCACGACTTCTCCCAGGGGCGGGCAGAAGTGTTATCAAAACATGTCCTAATTATGTTAGCCGTGCAGCCACTAATACAATTTTAAAATCTTAAACTGAATTTTTTCATTTCCCCCAAACTGACACTTTTCCATTTCTCCTGTGACTAATAAAGAAATAAACAATACCATCAACAGAGATGGCTGCAGTCAACAGTGCATGTGAAATCAACAGCCTTACTCTCTGAATAACCCATGTGTTCAGCAGGCTAGAGTAAAAACATGATACCCCGTCTTTGGAAACTTGAGACGCACAGCTGCAGTGCTCCCCCGCCCCGCGAGGACCCCGGCCCCGCATACCTGCAGGCCGGGCTGGGCGTGGGCGGGCAGGAACGGCTGCCCGGGGCCCGGCAGGAAGGGCTGCCGCGGGGGAATGAAAGGCCGCGCGGCCGCGGACCCCGGCTGGCTGAAGTGAAGCAGGCCCACGGGGCCTGGGGGCTGCAGGGTGGGCCTCACAGGCCTGTCTCTGGGGAACACGGGCTGCTGTCCTTGCTGACTGAACGCTGGTCCGGGCTGAGTGAACGGCAAAGGACTGGGCGCGGGCACAGGGTGGCTGTTGCTGAGAAGCGTGGGCGGCGGCGGTGGCGGCGGGGGGCTTCGCTGCTCCAGAAAGAGATGGCTCGGGAAGCGAGGGTCACCTGAAACTGAAAGGCACCGGGACGTCAGCCCCCGGCTGCACAGAAGGCGCGAGTGTCTGAAAAGAGCCCTAGGTCCTCCCTCCACTTCTCAACGGCTTCACCGGTCATCTTCTCTAACTGCTTTCCTCCTGTGTCGGAGGGGTTCACACTTCAGATACCAGTCCTGTCCAGCTTTAGCACTAGAAATGGCAGGAGGAAGTGCCAGGGCACAAAAATCCGATACTCTCAACAAAATCCCCTAGTGGGAGCTAACTTCAGTTGAAACAAGTGTGTCTGGCACCTCGCCTCCCCAGCTTTGGTCACCACTCCGCGCCATCCTTTACCTCCTAAGAAGAAGGGGTCTCGCTCCTGGGGCGGGGGTGGCGCTCTCCACTGGTCCTGAAGCGGGAGCCGTGGGGGCTGGCTGAAGTTGCTGGGAACGGGTCCAGGGGTGTGCTGCGGGAACTCCGGAGGGCCCTGCGGCACAGCAGGGAAGGAAGATGAAAGGCAGGAAAATGACCCGCAGGATTCCCAGTTCTCCCCTGAGAACATCACATGACTCACCTCCACGCCCCCTCCACAGGTATGTGCACGCATCACCCAGTGACTCCGCCATGAGAGTCACACGTCAAAAAGTGCAGCCTCTAAAAATTAACTCCACGTTTTCTATGTCCACAGCACCTCAAGATTACTAAGCTTACTGAAATCTATGCAATTATTGACCTTCTTGCACATTAACCCGAAAAGGGAAATTTCTAGTTTTGATGTTCCTGACATTGATCTCAAACATGTTATTCTTTGCTACCTTGACAACACAACCAAAAGCTACAGCTGTGAACCTGCTTTACTTTAAAAGAAGAAATTGAGTCCTGGCTGGTGTGGCTCAGTGGACTGAGCACTGGCCTACGAACCAAAGGGTCACTAGTTCGATTCCCAGTCAGGGCACAGATCTGGGTTGTGGGCCAGGTCCCCAGTAGGGGGCGCTCAAGAGGCAACCACACACTGATATATTTCTCCCTCTCTTTCTCCCCTCCTTCCCCTCTCTCTAAAAATAAGTAAATAAAATCTTTTAAAAAATGATTCTCTTACAGACAGCATATAGTTGGGTCTCACTGAAAAAAAATTTATACTAAAACAAAAATTGACAAAACAGAAAAACGTGAAATGTTTAAGGAACCACATTACTACAAAAGGAATATTACACAGTTGAATTGCACTGGATAGGAAAATTCAAACTCTTACAGATTAACATTCTTTTAGTAATACTAGTGGTCTCTACAGATAGAACTAAAATCATTTCGTTTTCCAGTTAGCCTTTCAAGAATTCAAAGATTTAAAAACACACATTTGCTTAAGAAAGCCTCACGTTTTTGTACGCAGGTGAAAGCCTCACAGTTATTTTCCCTTCTCCAGAGAGAATTCATTAATTTCACATCATCGAAATAAGTTTCACTTAATAACACCTCATTCTTTGAAACTCAGCCATTATTTCTCAACCTTTAAAAACCATACTCTGTTCTCATAAAATTCTAATGCATTTTCTGTCCTTTTATTACTAATACAATGAGCTGTCCCTCTAACTGGGACATCAGTGTGTAACGTTGCACACACTTGTGCAAACTGCACTCGCCTGCCCACTCTAAGGGTGTGCTCTGCTCACGGCATTGTAAGAGTGGTGCAAAAGGAACACGAGCGTGAACACAACCCAGTAAGACCCGTGGCTATGACGATGAAGAAATTTCGTCCGAGCACGAACGTTCACACAAACAGCCTCAGGCACCGGGTGACGTGTGCGGACCAGAAAGGCCGTGGAGACTGCGCGCTCAGTCCCTGCGCGCTCCCGCAGGTGGGAGCGCGGCAATCTCCCCTCGCCCGTGCCTGGCAGCTGGACCGAAGGCATCAATGAACACGCTGGGTAAGGCCAGGAACTGAGAGGTGGAGGGTGTGTGAGTGAGACTAGGGTGTGCAGTCACACTGCTTCCTTAGAAAGCTCCTCTGGCCCAGCACAGGGACACGCTCCCTCACGGTGGCCGGGGCCTGACCGACACGACACTCCCGCCCAGACAGTCTTCACCTTCCATGTCTCCACCACGGCAACCCCGTGCTGGAGCACACACTCCCGTCGCGTGGCCCTCGCACGCTGCTCCTCAGCAACTGGGCACTAGGTGCTAGGGACCCTGCCTTCTTTCTGCCACTGCCACGTTCTTGCCCCTGGCTTTAAAAACAGGCCCATTTCTGGTTTGAAGTCAATCAACTAGGCTGCATTTGCACACGTACTTCACCAGGTAACTGAGACAGAACACGTATTAACTGTCTCAGGATTTATTTGTTTGTAAAATATAACATTATCCTATCTTTAGTTCCACGTACCTTTTTTCTCATATATACATGTATCTCAAAACATGTTTTCAAATCACCTTCAAAAGGTTCTGATGATAACAAATAAGGGGCAGGGAAAAAGAAGTTAAACCCGCCCGTCCTCCGGTTCGCAAGGTCTGACTGGCCGCCCAGCCTCCGAACACGCCACCTGACCACGAGTCAGCAACACTCACCCGCAGCAAAACCTCCTCCACTGACACCGCTGTTTCAAACGACTTCAGACTGTCTCAAGAACACTTGACTGTCCCTCTTCTGGGCGAGGGGCGCCAGGAGAGAGTTTCAAACAGGGGAGCACAGAAGGGACAGGATGAGAGTCACTACAACCACTCACAGGGAGAACTGCAAACCTACAGATCAAGTGCATGCTTCCGAGAGGCCGCGAGGGAGCGCCCCGCAGCCTGCTACCAGCCTGCTACCGAGGTAAAGGCACAAGAACCACTGAAATGTAAATCTGTTAGAAAAGAAAAACTAGGTAGTTTCCATGAGTTTTTCACTTGCAAATCAGTACAGAGTGACACCTGCCTGGAGACAAATGGCGAGCGACACTTTCAGCCTCAGCTGTGCTCTCAGTGAGGGCTGGCCCCTCCGGCCTCACTGCGGCCGCCCCAGCTGGTGGGTGCTCGCCCGCACAGGAGACGGCCGGTCCCGCAGCGCAGCGCGGCGGCGCATGGGAAGCCCCTCTGCAGCAGCCGTGGGGGACGTGCTTCCGCTGCCATGGGGGCGGTCCACGGGCCGGGCCTGGGGAGCACTGGGTCTGTCTCTCCACGCCCCCAGCATCATCGCAGGGCACCCTGAGACACGGCTCCACTCCTGCGTCCGGTCGGACCTCTCCCCGGAGGCCGAGTGGCACACCCACCCCCAGGCTGAAAGTACTGACCGGGCTGCCACACCGCCAGCCACAGCTCCACTGCTCACGTCTGGTTAACGAGTTGTGGTCTTGCTCACAATTAGAAGACGCTTGCAAGAGGCTCCCGCCTTTCTCTCTCCACTGATAAACGTGGTTCTCTTCATTACTTAACACAAGAGGCCCCGCTGGTCCTCGCTGCTTCCCTTACTGAGCCCCTACTCATAACCTGCATCTTCCCACAGCAGCCCAGGGCTCGCCCTGCTCTCCAGGCGGCTGCCACTCTGGGCTCTGCACCTCGCCCCGCTCCCTCCCCGCTCCCTCCCGCAGAGCTGGTGCCCCGCCCTCCCACGCCAGGTCTCCTTACTGCAGGGAGGCTGGACAGGACTGCGAAGGTGGCCCCTGCCCCTCCGTAAGCAGAAGGTCTGCCAGGTGCCGAGTCTGGCTCTGCCACAGGTGGGGCTGAGCCGAGCGCTCTCTCCTCGACTCCCTCGCCCTCTCCTGGAAGAGGGGCCTGCCGAGTGACGAGGACTCGGAGAGACAGACTGGGGGGGGGGGGGTCAGTTTTCAGTAAGAAATTCAAGCTGCCTGAGAACTGGGCACATTACTTCTTGGGTCTCTATGCACTTTCAGATTTCCTGGGAAACTACTTTAAATATTCTGAACTTCGGAGGACATTTTTTGGTATTAAAGGGAAAATACACTGGGATCGCATATCTTGCCCCCATCCTGTCTCTCACTAACGCACGTGCTGCGCACATGGGCACGCAGATGTCAGCGGTCGCACGTACCCAGGGCCAGCCTCTGATTCCTGGCTGGCCTGGCACCCAGAAGGCACCCATCAGCTCCCACAGCCACTGAACAAGTGCCCCAGGCCCACTCTCTGGCACAGCCCTGAGCCCGTGGCAGCCCCCTCTGGGCCTTGGGCCCCGCACCTGTGGAGCAGGGAGAGTGGGCAGTCCCTCTCTCCTGGGAGCAGGTGGAGGAACACGACCACCGTAGTGGACTGGACGCTCACTGGGCACGGTCATTTTACAGGGCACTGTGAAGGCAGCATCCCACCCTAAGAGTGACACACCACTTCTGACAGTCACGTGTCAGCACAGGCCCCTTCCTGCAACCTTTCTCTGCACTCAAGCCGGAAGCCTGCATGGACAAGGGGACGCTCACCCCAGCCCCACTCCCACCTCTGGGTGCCCCAGGCGCCGGCCCATCGGTGTCTCTCACCAGCACACTGCCACGCTCGGCCAGGCCCCGCACCACAATCGAGAACACCAACACCCCACAGAGCACAGTGGTGGGGAGGAGCTTTGGGAGGACGTGAAAGAAGGGAGGCCAGGTGAACAGCCCGCAGGGTCCAGGGCTGGGGAGCCCTGGCCCACGCCCAGTGCACTGGGACCTGGGGCCAGCAGGCACCTAGCCTGTCTCTCTGACTCGCCTCTGGGACCAAGGTTGCTGAGCTGGCACCCCTGCAAAGCCACAGAGGGAGTGGGGATGCAGAGCGCCTCCCTCCCCTGGCGGCCTGCGCCCCCTTCTGGGGACCAGGTGCGCTCTGAAGGAGGGAGCCAGGAGGAGAGCACAGGACGCAGGGCGGTGCCACCAAGCAGGGCTGGGAGCAGGTGGCCGCCCCACTGGCCACAGTCGAACCACGACTCACACACCTGACACACTGCACCTGTCTCAGCAGGCAGTGCCTGGGAGTGACCGTTCACCCGCCCACACACAGTGTCATTCGACAGAGTCCATCCTAACAGGAAAGACAGACCAGCAGGGAGACACAGAAGTCTGCAGGGCAGAGAAAGGGCAAGTCCAAGCTCGGAGAGGGTGGCCCTGTCGGACCCAGGAGCGCCTGCCGAGGGGGACAGCGGAACTCAAGGACTTGCGGGCAGAAGCCAGTGTGGCACAGAGGCCGGTGCGAACACTTTAAGCTGTCAGACCCCGAAAGCGCCGCCGTTTTGAAAGAGAAGGACACCCCCCGCAGAGGGGTGGCACTCACAGCTCTGCTGCGTGGTGAACACGGACACCCCTCCCCCTGCTCTCGGGTGGGAGGAGGACAGCACTGTGCCTGGCTAGAGGCCCCACACCGCAGCTGCAGCAGGGAGCCTGGGCCTGGCTCTGGCTGACAGGACGAGACGGCCTCACCTTCTGCCCCGACCGCCGGCCTCCTCTTTCCCCTGCGATCTGGCAGAAAAAAACAGGGTCCCTGATAATGTCACAGAACGGCCGTACCAAGCCAGAACACTCCCACTTTCAC